TAAAAGAGCGGGATATTCCCGTACGGCATTTCGATATATCTTTTACGGTACATGAACGTAAAAATGTTCTCGAGAACGGTTGTTCCTAGTGATCTTAGGCAGGAGTACATTTTTTATCTATAATAAAAATGTAAAATTCACGGCAATGAGGGTAGAGTGAGCGAATTTTCAAGGATAAAAAAGTTGTGGAAAAAATAAAGGTACCCATCCCTTACTTTTCAACTCCCGACAACTTTTCTTCAGACGAACTACCCCAGAATATGATCTTTTACTAGACGTTCTTAAAATTTCAAATTTTAACACGTTAACAAAAAAAAATTATTTCATTCGCGAAAACGTATTTCTCTGGTCACACATTTCAAGAGTCGTATTTCGGAAACGGAATATTTCCCGGGCACATGTTTATAGGAACTTTTCTGACTTGGGGAATCTTTTTATAAATTTGTTAGCCTTAGCTCGTCAGACTCCGGCCTAATGGACTGTCGAAAGTTTTTCAGTTTTCTCGTTTCCACGTGGCGTATTACTTTTTTTTAAATATTAGATATCTAAATAACAAGCGAACATTATTTTTCCTTAAGTTGCATTTGCATAACTACTTGAGAAGTTTTTTGAAAAGATCGAATATCGTTATATACGAATTATCCTGAAATTCACGATTAAAGAATCAGTTGGCTCTTCGATATTCCCTTTTCTCGACGGAGGGCTAAAGATTCGAAAATAAGCTTCGCCAGCTGTGGTTAGAGATCTATTTTCAGATACCTCACGTATACGTACACGTTTGAAAGAGCTTGCGTATTTTTATATCAGAGTCCATGAATAAGTCGTAATAAAGAAGCCATTGTTAGGAGCGCGCGAGGACTCGCGCGCAAGGAAGCCGCACCCCCGTCTTTCGGTACACGCGAAATGAATAAAGCAAAACGCGAGCGCGGCCCGAAGGCGTACGAATAATAGGCCACTGCGCGAATACTCTATTCGCGTGAATAACGTCAAAGCGGCGCCTGTCGAATCGTCATTTGAAAGGAACGGGAGGGATCTGTCGTGCTCGAAGAGGCGCGAATAAAAGGGAGGAGTTTTCAACGGCTGACTGCCGGAAGACGGCCGGCTCCGCTTTTTAATTATACCAAAATCTAATCTACCGCCGAAGATGCTCCGCGCTCGTTAACGCGCCCTTCCCCGCCGCTTTTCCCCGCCGTTATTCACAGCGTTAACGGAAGGGGAGGGGGGAGGCGGGATTCGAATGGTTCGTCCGATTCTTCGGGATTCGTAATAAATATACCCGTAATAGATAATGAGAGCGCCGGGGGGGAGGGAGGAGAGGGTAAATGCGTGTGTCGGACGAGCGCGGTATAGAATGCGGCGAACAATGGCGAACGTTGGCGAGATCGCGGACGTGCTCTTTCGGACCTTGCATTTTCGAAAGGTCCCAGCGCGAAACGCGCCCCGACGCGAGCGTATGCGCACATCCTGCCGTTCTCGGGGAATAAATGCGCGCAAACATGTCGCCACGCGAACGCGGTATGCACATACCGGTGGAATAATACCGATTCGTACGACGATGTTCCCCTCCCCCCGAAAAAAATTACTATTGACAAACAGCATGCGGCGGCCAGTGTATGCAAATGAAAAGTTACGCCAGCATGTGCGAGCTGGCTTGAGTGGGAAAACGGTAATATTTGCGCAGGGCATGAAAATCGCAGCAGCTTCGCTGTTTATGCTCGACGCCGCGCTTGGGATTATTTTAGGGAGTTATTTTTCCAAGATTATTACATATTCATAGTTTTCTATTCCTCCAATTTTCGCGAGCTCGCTCTCTCTCTCTCTCTCTCTCTCTCGTTCTCTTTCAACTCCCAGATGCCCGCTATAAAGCGCATAAGCGCATTTAATTGAAATTACGCTGGCGCAAGCAGGAAGCATCTCTCTACGCAACTATAACGGCTTTGTCCCGAAGTAGGAACGACCGTCTCTCGCGAATAACTCATGTGGCTGTAATCAGAGAATGAGAAAACGTATGCGCTTTAGCGAATGTAATTACGCGCAACAGGAATGCGATTAAGGCCGCGGAATTCTCGCGGACACCGAAATCCCCCTTCGACCGGTCTTTTAATGAAGTCTAACCTCGTCTGTCCCGGCGGTTGCCGCCGGTCCACGAGTCGTCATCGCGGCCGACAGCCGATGGACGCTCACGGTACGTCATCATCAGGCCGATCAGACTTGCCGATGACCGTCATCCAGCTTGAAACGCTGCCGAATCCTGAGAGACAATCAGCCTGATGCTGCCCGTCGGCTCGTTCGACGGGGTCCGCCGGGGAGGCTTTCAGCCCGCCGATGTTAAGCCGCTTAATGACGCGAGAATTTTCACATATTTTCCCCGCGATATCCGAGGTCGTAGCATTAATTATCATCTGAATATCAGATGCCTGGTATTAACCGGGTTCGCGAACGGGGACCCACCGTTGGTAAACGTCCCCGATATCCGTCCCGAGATCCAATTAATTTTTCCATTTGCGCTATTTCGACGCGCACGCACGGCAAACGGATTCTTTTGGATTTTAATTACAACGCGAGTCGCGCCCGGCGCGTTGCAACAACGGAGCGAGCGAGAGAGAGAGAAAGAGAGAGAGAGAGAGAGGGGGGAAAGAGATAGGGCTTTGAACACTGAGCGCACCGTAAAAGATTTATAATTAATTATTCGCGGTTCGCAGGACTGAGATTATTACGGATGGACGTGATTCCCGTGCGAACTCGCCGGGATCTATTCGACTCCAACGTAGTGTAACGCATCATCGATTCACCGTCAACGCGAACGAAATTGACGGCCCGCGATCGATCAATGTCTGGCCTCGCGGACCAACGACTTCGTTCGTTTACGTGGTACAAATAAAATTCACGGAAACGTGGCAGGATGCGTCCGTACGGCTTGATTGTTGGAAATATTGCAGGCAAGAGCAAATAAAGCAGCGCGAGCTCTCGAGCGCACCGAGTTGAAAACGCGCACCGTAGGACTCTCCTCGCGAAGGGCTCTCAGGCTGCAGGATCGGATCTCGATTCGATGAACGTTCGAAAAGTCATTATTGGATTTGGAGATTAATTACACGCGTTACGGTTATTTTTAATTCGGTTCACGCGCGCGCGCGCGCGCGCATCGGCGATGCGATTTTTACAGCCGTATTTCTCGCGTTTAACGCGGAAAATCGATCGTGAAATGATTTACGGCCGCTCCGCCGTTAATTGAATCGGCCTGGGAATTCGGCTCAATTTGTGTTTTCTTCTCAACAATAAACTAGTCATCTCCCGCAAATTATTGTATATCGTACGGTTATTTATATTATATTATATAAATTATCACATGGAAGTATAAAAAATAGTAGGACTAGAAATTATATTTGAAATTTTGAATTTCTGAATTTTCGACACATTATATTCGATTAATGAAGTTCTGAAGTGCAAAAATTCGGGCGGCCAAATATTCGAAAATCTGAATACTCGGAACTTCAAGAACTGGAAAATATGTATGCCCGATTGCTGAATTCTTCCACGTGAGAAGTTTCTTTCTAAATGATATTTGCTGTCTTAAAAAATGTGACGTTTCTTGAATTGTGCTGTTACATATCATGGCGAAGTTTGCACATTTATTTCGAAATAAAATTAATGGGGACTTGTTATTTATTGTTTTCTTCATTCGCTTTGCGAATTTTATTTTATTTTTTAATAGGCAAGTACAAATCTCAGAATTGAACTGGAAACACTTAAATTGATATTCATTGCACATCATTTGCAACTCGATGGTTGTAAATATTGCGGACAAGAGTAAATAAAGCACCGTGTGCTCACAAGCGCGTTTTGTCGCACATTTTATTGCATTCTCCACAGTTAGTTCTATTAACAGCTTCGATATTTCGAATCTTCAGTGTCGAATATATCAAACGGCACCCCTAAAAAAAAATGTCGAAACATTGGTGAAGGATCGCGGATAACGACGAGGACGGTGATTGCTTGATTGATTGATAATTTGTCGAGTTCGTTCATTGAATCCAATAAAGCTAAATTCGGTTGAAAAAAAAAATTGAAGCGAATTGTTCGATTTTTAACGAAATGGCCGCCACACATGAATGACTTGTCACACTGCGGAAGGGAAAAAGAAACGTTCTCTCAGCGGTTACAACGGTTAACGGTTGGGCTTGCAAACTGGGCTACGTTAACGCGCGAAAATATTGTTTCTCGCACGCGCCTTCTCCGCACCGCTCCTGTCACTGAAATTTATCTACAGGGGAATCTACGAACCGGCATGCATAAAATAACGACTAAGTTTCGCCTTATCTTATCATAAATTTTACTCTCCAGATAGGCGGCAAGACAACCACGACAGCTTGCAAACTGCCAAGTCAAACTTTTCTCCGGTTCGACTTTGCAATTTACGCAGTGTAGGAGCGTAAATTCAGACACGGGGAGAGGCTGAATATCGTATTATTTTTATCCGTCTACCTTTTTCTCTTCCAATTTGTCTTCCTCTCTTTCCTCCATCCCTACTCCTTTCTCTTCTCTTCTTTCGGAATCGCGCGACCGCCGTTCGCGGCAACCGCCGATGCACGGTGATCTGAAAGTAAAAATGTTTTGCGAAAAATCTGAATGTTGACAAAATTGATATAATCTTTATATATATATACATAGAAAATGTTCTTTAAAAAAGAAAAGTAACTGTAGATATTCAGTAAGATATTCCATTCAGCGTAGGGTATCGCAAAACCGCGTCTGTATCGACTTGAGGTGAAATTTGAAAAAAATGCTTCGTGACGAAGAAATATTCTCAGGCCGCTGTGCGACGCGTCGCCCGGAAGTCGATGTCACGCACCGTTTTGCAGATGCGCATCGGGACGACTCGTGAGGCACGGCCGGCTCATCGAGTGCGTCGTCAGACGCGCTCAAACGCTCGCAATCGTGCGGATCCTCGACTCGCCCTGACGATGAGGCAGCAGTGCTTGAGAAAGCCGGTCGGCCATCAGCTGGGCAGACCCTCGGGAACTCGCGATCGACAGGGATGAAAGGTTCGTCATAACAATATTTGGACATCGGCTCCCTTAACACTCGAATCGTTGAATTTTATTAAAACAAACACTCGTCCGCCTTTTTGCTTGAATGTTTGGAAAAAATTACCAAGCGCAACAATGGAGAACGGACGGTTCGGGGGATTCGCAATCGTGACGTTGATTTGATTTCATCCATTATCGTCCGCGCGACGCGATAATCGCAACAACGTTAAACGACGTCGACGATGATCTCGAAAGCTCGATTTCGCATGTGAGATAATCCAATCAATATCGCCACGTCGTGTACGAATGCTCGCGTGAAACGAGTGTGCGCGTAACGGAAATTTCATTTGACGAAGGTCAATCGGGAACGTGCGAAGTACACGTGCCTCGAGCCTCGGGACACCGGTGTCTCGGCTGGAGATCTAGCACGGTGATCACGTGGGGAATTAAGCGGTCGACCGATGATGATGGAGCACAAACAGACAATCCTGCTGGCGCCGTCGCTGAGCAACAGCAGCTGTTGGCGAGGCGGCACGTCCGAGGCGGCCTGGACGGGTCCAGGCCCTGGAGAATTGATACGAGCCACCCTGATACTGCTGCTCAGCCTTGGTATCTTGTGCGCCAATCTTCTGGTGATATGCGTCATCAATAGCAGGCGGTACAGCAAGTACATCCACGCTCAGGTGCGTAAATCGTAAATCGCGACACGGTAGATTTATGGATCCTGCTTAGTCCGAACAAGCAGAAACTCGGCCGGAAAAAATCAATTGACGCTTTCGTCCTTACGATCGAATGACGGTACCAACCAAGCCGAGATCATTATACTATTTTTCTTCCAAAGTGTACATACCTTCAAATATTACAGTCAAAAGGGACTTTTTTATTCACTCATGTATTTATGTTATGAATTTTTAGCCGAAATTACGTTTCTTCAATGTTCTTATTTCGGTTTTAATCTGCAAAACTTAAGTAGAATAAGGCTTCTACGATGGTAAAATCTTGTTATGAAAACTTCCACAAGTATACGAGAACTTTCTCAGACACTTATACAGTCTTAAATAACGTAAAAACCTGTACTGGCCCTCGAAGCCCCAGGTTGTTGATGGAGAGTGTTAAATTACACGTTAAATTACACGTAATAGTCCGATGAAGCCGCGACGCATCTCGCACGGCGAGGAATATCGCCACAACGAGAGATTAATTTTGCATTTGTTCCGTGTCTTTGAGGGCCCCCTGTGGAGGGTGAAATATCAGCTACGCGAATGCGCGGAGGTTACCGTCGCTGGTACAACTCACTGGCTATATGATGGAACGGTCTGCGGTATTTTCCCGGTTTCTCTCTCTTCTTCCTATGTAAATCAGTTTGAAGTGGCTGGCTACGCGAAATACAGGGGATAGTCATGTTTCAGGATCCGAAACCGAGCACCGTTGGCTTTGCAGCGCGAAACGGAGAGAGAAAGAGAGAGAGAGAGTGGGAAGATACGACAAGGGGGGGGGGGGNGAGAGAGAGAGACTAATGATGATGCCCGCAAAAAGTTAGACGTGTTCCTCGCGGATGCTACATCTTCCACTTATTCGGTTAATTAAAACTTCCCGGCAGGTTGCGACGGCGTCGTAACACGGGAAATTGAAAATGCGCTTATTAGAGCGCGCTGTGTAATGTGTCGTTCTTTAGTATTCATCGATTTCCCTCGCTCATGAATATGCAAATCTTTTCAGTGAGTCGATTTAAGTACGCACAAACTCCGGCTACTCTTAGCCGTTTCGCGAAAACGCGCGCACTCGGATGTTGCCCGGCTCGTACATCAGCCGGGACGTTTCTCCGCTAGGAATGATTATCCCGATAAGTATTTTCCCCCTCCTGCGAATTCGTTATCGGGAATTATGCAATTTTCCGCCGGCACGGGTAGCATAGTTGTTAACGAAGTATTGCCGACTTTTCCGTATTTCCACCTCCCGCCGCGGCTTCATAGTGACTTTTCACTCCGCGTCGTCTCGCGTCGAGTCGTGGAATTCGATTTCTGCGTATACAAGACGTAATTTGTGAAATATGTATGTGTACACGTGAGCAACTCGCTCGTATACGCTACGTAAGGTGAATATCCCAATTACACCGTAAATCCTTGAGCTGAAGCTCTTTTTACACGTTTCTCGTGCATATCTCGCCGTTTGAAATCGCGTCATTTAATACGATCGGACGTGTTAACTTGACACGCCTAAATTTCACGCGTTAATTTAACATGATTAAACGTGTTAAATGACGTGAGCTAAGTCGGCAGAAAACATGTAAAATTAGCTTCAGTCAAATGTGTCAATTTGAGATGTTTATGCGTGTAAAAATAATACATTTGGATTTACAGTGTGGTGGCAGTGATATTGTATTGAAGCAAATAACCAACATTTCGAACAATGCAATTAATTCACATTAGTGCCAAAACGGTTCATTTGTGTTCAAGGGTTTATTGACAAAAGTTATTTGTTTTAGTTCCCTTTCTAAATACCCGTAGTTTGTCGATCTAATTTCGGGACACCCATAGTATACATACACACATATATATATATATTTAATTACATGTCGTATTGGCTGTAGTTTACGCTATATGGTAGTATTGAATTTTCGAGTTCTCATCAAGATAAATCTGGGCATCAGAGCATGTTTTTTCAAATATGACGTAAATGAACCCTCTAATGATAATGCAATGCCAAATTGACCCCACGGCTTCGTTTATTTTCCCGTGTGGCTGCTTTTCTTCTTAAGGAACGTATCATGTTATTATTTATTTCTTTTATCTATTTTGTACATTGATTACAAGAAAAATAAACGAAACAGAGCATGGGGTCGGATCCGAGCTCACATTCCTAGATAACGAAAGTCCATTTTGCCATTCAAAGGCTGAATCGATCAAACCTAATTAAGAATATTTCAACTAAAATCACTGACAACTTCAAGGATAATTAAGACAATAAGAAAGAGGTAATAAATAATATCCCTTTCCATTGTTTCGATATTGAGATTTCACTGATGGAAATAGTCGCTGCAGCAGGCATTTTCGGCGAAATTCCACCGATTTGCTGTACAACCATGACCACCGGTGATTATTGACTGCTTTTCAGTGACGATGCACCGACTGCACTTTAGAGAATAGCTTCCTTGAAAAATTATATTTCGTTACCATCAACCATCTTCATGAATATTAATCGAAGTCAAGCGCGCAGTGCTTATGCGGCGCGAAGTTTTCGTTACTCCGGCTTAATCAATATTTTCTCCCGCTACACCTCTCACGATGAAGCCGGGGAGGTGACATTATACAGCAATTTACCCGTCCAGACGTCTATTGACACTGACCAAGGCGATCAACAGGTTCTCCTTAATTTTCTTCCAGCCCAGATATCTGCTGACGAGCTTAGCGAGTAACGACCTAGCGATTGGTCTACTGGTGACCCCCTTCGGTTTCTTGCCGGCTGTTTACGGATGTTGGCCGTATGGCGAGGTGGTCTGCCAGATTCAGGTAACTTTCACGATACTCGCTCCCTTCTTTTGCTCCCTCCCCCTTTTTGCTTTTATCCCCGCCGAGTTTCGCCGAACTTCGCGTTTATTGCGCGCAAGTATCGTTGGATCGCCGCTCAACTTTGCGACGTTGTCAAAGGGAGTCAAGACAATCAAGATCTCTGTTGTTATAAACGTTGAAGCGAGATCGCCGGGGCTCAAAAGTGGATGTTTCGTAAGCGCAGAATCGATAGCGGGTAATGCGTCGAGCATCGACCGGTGCTTTCATATCTCGCCGCCGTAATGAGTGCTCCCTTGTGTGTAACACGTCGGCGATTACGGTATCTCTTATGACGTCGCGCATTAAGGAGCCGTTCAATAACCCCGCGCCCTTCTCCCGTCTTCTCCTCATTCTTCCTTTTTATTTCTCTCTCCTTTTTTCCCCTCCTTCTTTCGTCAGAACCCGAGGAATTTATAGGAAATCTCGGGATCTCGGCGTTCGCCCGCAGGAAATTATTATCGTTCGAAACTCACGGCTGCGCTTCCGGCAGCCGGTACTTCTTCCGCTATTTCCTCCGCCAGTCGGCGGTGGCTACGACGTTATCGGAGTTCCTGGCGATAATCTTTACGCGTTGCGCCTTTCCCTCCCTCCTCCGCGACATCTTCTGAGGTAACGGTGTGATTTGTGACCGTATATTTCTTCATTTCGCACGTGCTAAACTCCCGCCGAAGTGCCGCGCCCCCCGTCCCATCGGCGCAGCCTGAATTTCGTGCTGTTTGCTTATCTAACCGAAACGGGAAATTGCCGTAATGCCTCTCTCTCTCTCTCTCTCTCCCCCCCCCCTCTCTCTCTCTTTCGCGTGCGGAATTAGCAAACGCAAAATATATGCGCAAATGAAATTGATTCGCCGATGAGTCAATTCCAATCGTAGCCTAACGGGGTATTGTCGGCAAATTCATCAGTCGCCTTAATAATGGACGAAAGTTTGCAAATTATGAAACAATAACGCGATAATGAGCTATTTAATTGCCTGCGTACAGGGATGCATCCGTGGCAATCGTAAAGCACGTTTAATATGTTTGTGCGTGGAGAGATGATTAAAAACTTTGAACGTCCGAGCGGTAGAACTTACGAAGGAACAGACTTGAGGGGAAACATAGCGGAGAATTTTCCCATTAAAAGTCCCTCTCTCTCGAAGCCATTATAATTTTATTTATACTAACAGTCCCACGGGACGGAACGGGATCTCTCGATGAGCGCGGACGGGAGTTTGAAATGAGAGAGCGGAAGAAATATTCATTAATCCGGGACGAAGAGCACTTATTAATTCCGCTAATACGGCGGTCAATGGAGCAAGCGGACGACTTATCGGTATATCCTCCTCGGCTGAAGCATTAAAATACATCGTATGGCGGCATAATATGGAGGCGAGCGATGTGGCAGCTCTATTCGAACATCAGAAGTTACGGCCGCACCGATACCGACAAATCATCCCCGGCGCATTCCCTGATAAGACTCCGGCGCGACAGAAATGTATGTTGCGCTGCATCGGGATGCCTTCCTGATATCTAAGATGCTGATGTCTTCCGCGACGCTCCGCATCTGCGGACACTCTCGTAATGCCGTGCCATCCGTAACCGTCGAGAGAGATTTTTGTGCCCACGTCACCTCCGTGCTCGCTCCACACATCGCGGACATGCGTATAAATTTACGAAGGATACAAACTCACCAAGATTTACCGCAGATCCAAGTGTAGAATTATTTCACGCTTGTATATGCGTGAAATCGTGCGGTGACTTTTTACGCATTTCCACGCGTGTTATCTCGCCACGCGTCATCTCAACATTTCATTTGTGTTATTTCGCGCAGTTAAACGCATATGTTTTACACGCTTGCATATTAAATTATACATTTAAAAAATGTTATTTGCGCGTAAGGACTTTGAATCTTCTTATATATAATTATTATTTAATCATATTATATATTTAATAAAATTAATGCCACTTTGCTGTTCTCAGTTTCTACTACGTTGTGGAATTAAAAGATTTAAGGAGTAACATTTCGATTTGGGCCCACCACTGTTTTGTTAAAGCTCAAAGAAGAACCGGTTTCTGAATCATTTAATACTCAATTATCCGAGTAATCTATCCGTGCGAATAATTCTCCTTATTCGTACTTCCGCAACCGACGGCTGGAGAAGTGAATTTTAGCAAAGTGTACCTTCACAATAATATAAAATGCCACTTTGCTGAGCACTTTTCGAGACCCCGCTTTAATAAAGGACGCTTGCAGGGACCGAGACGTGCCATAGAAAAGTAAGTAGTTAACACGGTAGAAAGAATGAACAGTGACGTTGTAACAAGTGGGCTCTCGGCAGAGGAAATTAGTAAACACAGAGTAAGCAAATTTCTGCGTAGCAAAAGGAAGCCTCGCTAAGTTCGGTGTGTTGTAATTAATAAGACTGAACGCGCGGGCGGAGGAAGCAGCTGGCAGAAAATTAGTAAGCAGATGTGGACACAGATGTTGGGTAATTAGAGGAGTGAAAATCGAGTGAGTAATATTTCATACGATGCGGATTTTAGTCGTTTCCGTCCTCCCCCTCGCTAAAAATTGCGTCACACCAAGGCATATATCAATAATATGAAGAGAAGGAAAAGAACATCCACGCAAGACGATTCCTCTCGCGCGATCGCGCTCCTTTCTCGCGAGCTCGCGTTCTTTCCCGTATCCACGAAATATAACGCGAAATATATAACGCTCCCGATAACGGATATTCCTAAAGAGCGCATGCATACGACACGGGCGCTCGTAACAGCTGGGTGAAGAGATTCGGAGGAGATCCAATTTCTTATTGCGGCCGATGGTCGCCATAAAACTTTACGAGAACCGCCGACTCGGAGTCCAAAGTCAGGGCGATCTCTCTCGGCATCTGCGCAACAGGGATTTCATAAAACTATAATAGTAATATTCTTACGCGCGTCAGCCGACTCGTCTTAGAAACGTATTCACACGCGATCCTTTCCTTCCGGCCACCTTGACCCACATGCCTCTCCAGGATATATACGGGATTATCGCGGGATTAACATCTCCGCGAGCGTTCCGTGCCCTACGTTTCCCTCGCGTATGATACACATCTCGCACCTCGAACCCTACGCATGTCACGTTCTTTCTGACACATACATCCCTATAGTCCCTCGAGGTCTCTCTTGTGTCGAAACCCGAGTCGAAATTTTAGTCCCGTGTTAACCCATTTCGTTCTTCTATCACACGAATAGCGAATTTATCTTCAAGATCTTCCAAAATTCATCGTAGAAAGCCTATCTGGCCTAGATCTTATCACTGAAATATAGTTTGGACTTTTGTCTTTCGGGAAATAATTTCACCTGGCCATCACCTTTTACCCCTCCGATTAGTAGATAGGAGTGGAAAATAACCTTGCAAAACACATCTTGTTAATTCATTTGCCTCACCTCTTTAATTAATTGATGAAAAATAGTAACAAATAAAAAATTGAAAAAATATGATGAGGTATTGTTGCCAAAAGCTCAAATTGTCGAAAATAACGATTTCTATTATGATAAAATTAATTAAAAATATATATAAGTCCTTGTAATCATTCTACGTGTAAAAATATCAGGGTGAGATAATCGAAAAGTGGATATTTTCCAAAATATTTTATTTCTTATCTTGATATTTTTCAGTGCATGATATAAAATCTCATAAAATATTCACCTTTCGATAATGTCACCTTAATACTTTTGTACATAATTTTGTACATAATTTTGTAATATGAGAGAAATCGATTACCGATATTAATCATTTCACACAGGTGTATCGATGCATTTGCAAAATGATACGAATTTCTTTCTTACGTTTGCTTCGATCGATTTCCTCCTGAATGCTTTTCTGTCATTCTACTTACAAAAATGTTAAGACGACCGCTTCTGCACCATGTAATTTCTATTGGATAAATTTTCCTCTCACTCTCGTAGTTTCGAAGATATTCGAGATGCTTGATTTAGCTTCCGAGTTAGCGCCACGTCCTTCATGAATGTCTTTCTGACGTTTCATGAACATTTCAGCCTACTTCTCCAGAGTAGGATGCGACCCAATCTCAGGAGATTGTGAGGCACTCCCGAAGAAGTGAACTGAAATGTTCACAAAACGTCGGAGACAAATCCACGAAGGACGCGACGCTAATTCGACGGACAAATTAAATATTTATCCGCACTGCGGAAGCCTAAAAGATCAGATATTCAAGGTGGTAATCGCGCCTCACTCTGTATAAATGTGGAATTAATACTAATACTTTTTCCATGTAGCATTTTGACTCATGAAGGACTCGTTATCGTCGTAATCGCGTAGACGTAGTCTCACGATCGCGTCGATTATTAACTAAGCTTGACGGACGATCGAAAATGTGACATGGTGCGCGGGCGATAATTCCGCCCGAACGTGGAGAAGTTGGCGTGAATCTATTAATTCGCCGAGGCGTGACGATAGCGCGCCCGATGGTGTGCGCGATCGTTGGGAAAAGCGATGGAAAGTGGAACGTGCGAACAGCCCAAGTCCTGAACGATCGTGTAAAACTTTACGTGACCGGCGGCTAAAGGCGATGCGACTAACGGCGCAATTTCGGCCCTCATCGCAGATCAGCTTAATGACGATAGTCGCAGTTCCGACGCGACTCGCTCGGACTTGCAATCGTCAACTAACTACTTCAAGTGGAAATTTCGGTTCTATATTGAGTCTATTTAGTTCCAAATTAACTATTCAATTTTATTGTGCTCATTTTGATCCTACGAATAGAACGTTATTTCCGTTTTCTCCACTTGAAGACTCGATGTAAAATTAAACAGACTTAGACCGTATTCGAGAAACACTATCAGCGTTAATGCTTCATTTTGTCTTTATCGCTCATTAGACGTAAAGAAAGGATGACGCGCTAATGATGTGCTCCTCGAGAGCAACTTTAATGTAGGAGTAAAATTTCGACTCGAATTATCCCGAAATTTTGATGC